TAAATCTGATACCTTATTTTATGAAAAATAGCAATCCGTACTCAATAATTTGTGCACAGAAGACAAAAAAAACTTTCTAGCATTCCTCTTAATTCCTGAAGGCCATTCTGACATCCAGAAAGATAATTTTTGGGGTCATGGAAGCACTGTGGAAGAACAAGGTACAATGATGTCACTCAGAAGTGACGTCATCACACTGCTGATGTTAGGGGGTGACACTCTAGTTTTTGGGCAAAACTCTATGGTTTTTTGCCCTCAATACCATAGAGTTTGCTCAAAAACTAGAGCGTTGCCCCCAATGTCAGCAACCCGATGACGTCACTACCGGGTGATGTTATTGTGCTGATAAAGCCGACACTGGAGGGGGCAGTTTGGTGGTGGAGATTCCCCTGCTGGGCAGCTGGCCAGTGGTGGATTGGAGCCCTCAAAATTGTGGGAAAGCCCACCGCAACCAGGGGGATGGCAACCCTACATAAGGTTGGCAGGCTCCAGGTGGGGCCTGGATATCTCCCAGAATTACAAGTGATCACCAGATGACAGAGGTCAGTTCCTCTGGAGAAAATGGCTGCTTTGGAGGGTGCGTTCTATGGGATCACAGCCTTGCTGAAGCCCCTCTTCTCCCCAAACCCAGTTTTCCCTAGCCTTTTCCCCCAAATCTCCAGGAATTTTCCAAACACAGTCATGGGGGCCAGTGGACTGGTCTGATGAGGGACAAGGGGATGAGACCAACTCTGGTCCTCAGTGAAGCTGTTCCTGTGGAAGACCGAGGGCCAAAAAGTGACGCGAGTTGGGTCATGGGTGCGCAACCTGTCAGTTACATGTTAATGAAGGCTCTAGCTCTCCAAAACGTCTCTGTTACTCCGCTAGGTTTCAAATACTGCGAGGGGTAAGGAGGGGCCTCAGACTTCCTTCCTGCCCCTTTTTTGCCAGTAAGAATGGCCAGTGGGGGGTGTCTGCTGACTCCTCAGATCGAAGCATCCTGGGATGGACACACGGAGCCCAAGGAAGGGACACACAGCTCCCCCCTGGCCATTTCCACTGGTGAAAATGGCACTGGAGGGAAGCCTGAAGCCTGTCCTTCTCCCTTGTGATATTTGAAACAGTGAAGAACAACAGAGTTTTTGAAGGTTAGCAGCTGTGTGAACATGTGACTAATAGTAAGGGCAGGCACCCATGTCTTACTTGTGTCACACGTAATGTGAATTTTGGCCCTAAAAAGGAGTGATTTCACCCCCTTGTCCTTCAGCATTCCAGCCTCCCCCCCACCCCCAGCCAGCATGGGTCTTTGTCTGCATGAATCCTGTGACCCTTCGAATGATCTTTCTGGGGGTCGGAAAGCACTGTAGGAACATGGAGGATCATGGGGAAACTGTGCATTCTGTACATGGGATAGTTGGATAGAGACCACTGTGTCTGAGGTGGAATCAAACCTGCCTTCAGTTACGTTAATTATTGACAGAAGAGTCTTTCTATCTTGCGTGAAACCTATAAACCTTACATCCTCCATTTACATGTTCTGGCATCTGGAGAACCTACATAAGAACCTCTGAAGCCTTCTAGGTAAAGAATTCTCTACTAGGCAACTAACAAGAGGTTACATTGAGAAAGCTGCTTTGAGAGGTACATGATTACAACTGCTAGAATGACATATGCTCAATGCTAGAAGCAAGACAGAACTCCCGAAATTGGGGAGTGGATAAAGAAATTACTTTTTATGGTGGAAATGGACAAAATGACAAGAAAGCTTAAAAATCTGGAAGCAGAAGAATTTTTCGCAGACTGGAAAGACTTTAAAGAATATTTAGAGAAATATTGGGATGTAAAGAACAACTTAATTTGCTTTGATAACTATTGAAAAAAGAATGATATTAGAAGAAGGATAAAGGTATAAGAATAATAGTTGAAAGATATGTTACCTGTAGAATGTGATTAACGAGTAAGTGGGAAAATAAGAGAATTTAAGATGTAGGCTGGAGGTTGGAGCACTGTGGGAAGTCAAAAGGGGTGGGGAAATAGGAGAAAAGGATGTATAACAATTAGTACGGTAGTATGATGTATGTTTGACCTCTTAATATATCCTAATAAATTGTTTTTTGGGGAAAAAAAGAAAGCTGCTTTGAGAGGAGTTGCTGTTGTTGAGAAACGGAATATAAGCAAAGGTAAATAAGCAGGAGAGAAAGTTATGTACTGGCACATTGGTGTGTATGTTTAAGTAATTCTCATGTAAGAGAGAGAAGCTGCTGAGATGGGTGGATGAGTGATGGATGAAAACGCGGGGGGGGGACAAAAAAAGCCAGGAAATACCCAGAACATGGAAGGGAGGACAGATGCCATAGAAGAGAAAAAGATTAGCCAATTGGAATACTTAGAAAAAATGAGCAATAGTTTGGAACGGCTAGTTTTGAATCCAGTGGCACCTTTGTTACCTCTACCAGCTTTGATTTAAGAAGCAAAGATCCCTGTAGACACAGGTAGGACAATTCTCGCTAATACCTCACCTCTCGCTGAGGTTTGCCATTTAGGTAATTTCCCCCCCCAGAAACTGAAGTCAGCGATTCAGCTTCTTAACTCAAAGCTGGTAGGGGTAACATCTTAGAGGCCAACGCGATTTTCGGGGAATAAGCTTTCGAGAGTCAATGCTTCCTTCCTCTATTCCTCCTTGTATCTGATGAAGGGGGCTTTGCCTCTTGAAAGCTTCTACTCAAATCTAGCTGTTCTACTGCAGGCCAACGTAACCACCCTCTGAAAATAGTTTAGGAATGTCCCTGTTACCCCTACCTAGTCAAGCAACTAAATGCTCCAGAGACGCAGATGCATGATTGTGACATCACATTTCAGTCGATATTACCTTCTACCCTCTCACCGTTAATCAATCGTTCACGATGTTGCTACTCATGCCCTCCTCCCTCACGCATGACATACTTTATGAATGACCTCTTTATCCACACAGATTTCGGCAGGATCAGAATTTGGGCCGTAAGTTAATACTTTTGACCGAACGCTTCGTGAGGCACAATTTGGTTATTACTCAGGAGGCCGCAAAAATCTGTGAAATGTAGACCATCATGGGCTTTATTAACCCGATTATCACTGTTAATTGGGAAACCTTTCTGTTCACCTTTATACAATACCTTTATTTCATTAAAATACTTTAAAACCTGTTGTTTCCTTTGTATGAGGAACAGGATTTCACAGATTTAATACCAACCACCACTGAGAATTGGACAAAGTATAGCTGTATACGGGACCAAAAAAAAGGCAAATAATTTCTTTGGCAATATTAATACACACAATTTTTAAAAGAAACTGATTTAAAAATGCTGTTGTAAATCAGGAAGGGAGAAAAAAACAAGCTTTAGCTTAAAATATAGAAAGAATAATAATAATAATAGAAATGACATAGAACTTTCAGGATGAGATTCCACTTGATAAAGATGTATACTCTGGGATTCTGGAAGTTATCTAGGTGTATATCCTAGTAGCTATAGAAACCTTACAGAAAACCCACAGCTTCAATGTGTTGGCCTAGATGGGGTGATCTTGGTACTTTCACCAGAAAACATTTTCAGTTGCTTAAATGGCTTTCTAAAACTCCACGGCATCCACTGCACCTTGTAGAAACAAGCATTCTCTGAAAAACCTACATTTGTCATAGCCTGATTCTCTGACAGCGAGAGGGCCACTAGACTTGCACAGATACTCATGCGGAACCTTGATACATATACACTTAGTGGACACGTTAGGAGAAACGTTATTAGAAAGGAAAGCATTGCACATAAAAAGCAGACAAGTAACCATATGTTTGTGACAAACTCTTCACTGAGGAATGTTGGGTGTTTCCAGATCCAAAGCTGATTCTCTGGCAGATTTAAAAAGGTATCAATGCATCTTGAATGTGAAGCCCTTCCCTCTGAATGCCAACATGCGGTAATCTTCAGTTGACTCACTAATGGAATGAATATGCTCTTCTCTCATCTCAGAGGCCTTTAACCTGTTCTTATTCCACAAGCTCTGACACTGAAAAGAGGCACCACAGCTGATTCCAGGTAAGTGCTGGCCTAAATTACATCCAGTTCTCAGTGCCTTCTTAAGTAGAGATAACACCCTTCTATGCTTTTGAGTTCAATAGACTTAGAAGGGTGTAGCTCAGAGGTCATTTCAGGGGGAACGCGGGGGAACGCAGTTCCCCCGGGTGAGGTACGGGGGGTGGGGCACATGACGAAGCCCCGCCCCCTGCTTCCGGCCGTCCCGCTTCCGGCCCTCATTCAGCCAGGAGGAGGCAGGAGAAGAGGGAGGGTAAGTTGCTTCCTCCATGCCTCTCCCCACCCCTGCCTGCCTGGGGCCAGGGAGGGCCTTCGCGGGGCTTCCTTGCACTCCCGCCGGCCTTGCAGGTCCACCGCCGGGCCCCTCATGGGGCTCGGCAGTGGAGCTGCAAGGCCGGCGGCAGCGGCCGGGACCGTTGGGGGTGGGGTGTGTGGCCTTATGACACACGTCCAGTGATGTCAGGGGGTGTGGCCTTATGACACATTTCCGGTGATGTCAGGAGGTGTGGCCTTATGACACACTTCCGGTGATGTCAGGGGGTGTGGCATATGCTAATGAGTTATGCTAATGAGTTCACCTAGCTATTTTTCTATGAAATGACCCCTGGTGTAGCTGTAGGATAGCATTCAGATCCATCTGGGCACCCACGAAGCTCAGAACAAAGCTCTTCCCATCTTTAACCACATTTAGGATAGGAAAGGGGCACGAGCTCATGTTTAACAGCAGCAGCAAACGAAAGATAAAATTTAAGCATAAAGATAACGGATTTGTGATATGATTTTGAATCTTCCTCTTTGTGTCAGTTTGCCACAACCTTAGAGTTACTTAGCTTTGAAATCACCATGTGTTAGTTCAATTAACCAGGAAAAAAAAATCCATTCCAGTTATTAGGAAGCAAGGGAACATTAATTACGTTTGCGGAAGCGTTCCTACCGGTGGAAAGCAAGGGTACTTACGGGCGATGAATTTACTTGGGTTATCCTTAGTTGGTTCTCTAAATCTTGTACTTTATTTTTAAGCTCCATATTTTCTGTTTCTAGTTCCTGAATCTAGAAAATAAACAGGCGAGAGGACACGCAGATTATCGAACTGATGTTATTCCAGCAACTATTTATGTCCTGAATGAATCTACTAAAATAAATAACCACCTGGGTCATTGTGCAGCAATCAGACATTAACCCTAAATCATCCAATTTTAAGGAGAAATGGACCCCATTCATGGAATATATCTCAGCTTCGGATTCTCAACCTCAAAACTCTTTATACTTAAAATTACTAGACTACTAAACTTTACCTCTTTGACCATACTGCCTAGTTGTGACATTGTTTTGATATAATTTAATGGGACACAAGTTATTACTTCATTGCATCAGCTCATTTTTATATTTAAATAAACACAAGGGTTACAGGTACTACATTGAGCTTGTTGACAACAAAGTAAAATTACTACCCTGTTTCCCCGAAATAAGACCTAACTCAAAAATAAGCCCTAGCAGGATTTCTATGCATTTGTAGTATAAGCCCTAGTGTGTCTTCTTGAGAAAAAATAAATATAAAACAGTGTCTTATTTTCAGGGAAACACGGTAGTACCATATTGGTTTGCAAACTATGTATGCTGTCTATGCTGTTCTGTAAGTTTTAAACTACTGACTATTATTTTTGAGAAAAAACTAATAAAAATAATTATTAAAAAAAAGAAAAAGAAAAGAAAAGACGTTTCCGTGAACTATGCCTACCCCAACATGCATACTTGTTTTATTCTACATATTTCATGTATTTATTTATTTTACAAAATGCATATTCTGCCTTTCTGGCCTCACATGGGCCAACAATGTGGCCAAAAACCAATAAAGTCACACTTTAAAATCATTAAGCCCCCAGAACAACCATCATTAAAGTAATTAAAAACAGAGCTAACATACGCACAACGACATAAAAACAACAATTAAAACATTGGTGAGGAAGGAGGGCTCACCGAGGGAACACCAATCGGAACAACAGCATCTTCAGCCACTAGCAGAAGATGGCAACAGAAGGGAACAGATGCATCTCCCTGGGGAGAGAGTTTTGGTGCCACCACCAAGAAGGCACTCTCCTGGGTTGCCCGCTACCCAATCTGAGAAGTTGGGGGCACCCGAAGCCAGACCTCCAAAAATAAGGGAGTAGGAGGTCCTTCACATATGTTGGTCCCAAATATACTGTTTCATTTATCCAAATACAATGCAGATCGGGTGTGACCCAAAAAAATCCAAATACCGCTGTGAGCCCAGAAAAGGGGAATTTTATTGGCGCCATAGAATGTGCTCTGTAAGTATAGATCTTTAGCTTGTCTAGAACTGGGCACCAGACCAGTTAAAAATACTGGCCAAATACTGCCGAAAACTGAGAAAGAATACTTCCTACTATAGGTATGATGGAATATCCTGCAATCGTAACATTTCCTCCAAAAGGACATCCTTGGCTTCATGGAATATTCGGTAACATTTGAGTGAAGCGAAATATGGTTGTGATTGACAATACTTGAGCGGTCAGAGAACTGGCTCCTCTCTTTTGTCCTCATTCATTCTACTCCCAGTAACGGTGTAGCTGGCACCAAGCGCTACCCAGAGAACTGAAGCCCGTTCCGTCCGGCCAGCTGCTTTCAGGTCTTGCTTGGGCTGCCGCCGAGTCCAGCTTGCTTCCCACCTCTTGGTTTGGAAACGTTCCCACAGAAATTTCCCAGCATTTTCAAGCTTATCTTTGAAGCGCTAGTCTCACAATCTGCTTCTGACAAAAATCCAAGGCTACAATCCTCCTGATGTTAATTGTGTGCAACTCGCTGAATTCTATACTTGATACGCGGATGTAGAATTTATGCACAGTCTGACCATAATACTGAAATGGTTCGCTTGTACGTAAACTGAAGTCATTTAAATAATTTACTGGGTAACTGGCTTAATATATTTTGACGTCTGGTTCTGCTTATAAACCTTCCATAATGTTGGATGCCACTTTTGTTTTGCTTAAAAAACCCTAAATGATGCATTATATCAAGCAAGAAACATGCCTCTGTAACTTACTCTTTTCTGTAACCCTGCAATCTGTTTTCTCGTCTCCACGTCCTTTCCGCCCGATTCCAGAAATTTCCTGTAAGCCAGATCAAACGCTTGCCCAATTGTTAAAGTTATCTCTTCTGCCTTTATATAAAACAAACATTACCATTAGCATGTCAATTTATTTTACATAAGGGGGGGAGACCTAAAGTCACTTACAAATTCAAGGATTGCAAAGAAACTTGATGAAACACAAAGTCTTACACACTGTTGAATCAATGAAGAACACAACTTTTATTATAAGCAGCTATAATTTTGGTGAACTTGAGGGCAACTGCTTTGAAAGGCACTGTGGCTTAGTGGTTAAAATGTCAGACGAGGATCCCCACTCTGCTTGCTGGGTGACCCTGGGCCAGTCACATGCTCTTAGCCTAACCTGCCTCACAGGATTGTTGTGTGGATTAAATGGAGGAGAGGCGAAGGATGTAAGCTGCTCTGGGGCCCCATTGTGGAGAAAGGCATGCTATAAATCAAGCAAATACAATAAGTATATTTCAGAACAATTCCAGTTAATAGTGAATCCCGAGCCCATACCTACATCTGTTTCAAAAGAATATAAGAGGAGCCCTGCTGGATCAGAACAGTGGTTCACCTAGTCCAGCATCCCGTCTCACACAGTGGCCAACCAGTTCCTCTGGAGGGCCAACAACAGGGTATCAAGGCCAAGGCCTTCCTAAGAACATCAGAAGAGTCCATCTACTCCAGCATCCCGTCTCACACAGTGGCCAACCAGTTCCTCTGGAGGGCCAACAACAGGGTATCAAGGCCAAGGCCTTCCTAAGAACATCAGAAGAGTCCATCTACTCCAGCATCCCGTCTCACACAGTGGCCAACCAGTTCCTCTGGAGGGCCAACAACAGGGTATCAAGGCCAAGGCCTTCCTAAGAACATCAGAAGAGTCCATCTACTCCAGCATCCCGTCTCACACAGTGGCCAACCATTTCCTCTGGAGGGCCAAGAACAGGACCATGGCCGAGGGCTTCCCCTGATAAGAACACCAGAAGAGCCCTGCTGGAGGAGACCAGTGGTCCATCTAGTCCAGCACCCTGTCTCACACAGTGGCCAACCCGTTCCTCTGGAGGTACAACAGGGAATGGAGGTCAAGGCCTTCCCCTGATGTTGTCTCCTGGCTCTGGGATTTAGTGTTTGAATGCAAAGGCTCCCTTTAGTAATTATGGCCAGTAGCCATTGATAGACCTATCCTCCATGAATCTACCCAGTCCTCTGGCAGCAAATTCCACATTTTAATCACTTGGGTAGAGAAGTATTTCTTTTTGTCTGTCCGGAATCTAATGTCCATCAGCTCCATTGGATGCCCTCAAGTTCTAGTATTGTGGGAGAGGGGGAAAAAATCTGTTTGTCAACTCTCTCCAGCCCACGCATAATTTCATAAAACTCTATCGCGTAGCCCCCTTTAGTAATCTCTTCTCTAAACTGAAACATCCTGGACTCTCCAGGCTTTCCTCCTAGGGAAGGCACTCTAACCCCCTAATTAATCCTCTGTACTTTTTCCAGCTCTGCAATGCCCTTTTTGAGATACGGCAGGGGTCATTTTCTGTGGGAGCGCACAGGAGCAGAGCTCCGGCAGTAAGGAGCCCAGGGGGCGGGCACATGCAACAAGCCCCACCCCCTGCTCCCAGCAGCCCCCAGTTGGGCCATGAGGAGAAAGAAGCAGCCAGGTAAGTTGCAGAGCCCCCCCCCCCCCCGGCCCAACGTCAGGTACAAGCTCTCCCAGTCAGGTCCAAGCTCTCCCCCCTTTGTAAGGGCAAATCTGTGCATTCCCCCCCCCCCAGCTAGCAAGCCAAAAGAGTCCAGTGGCACCTTTAAGACCAAGTTTTGTTCAGGTACAAGCTCTCCCTCCTCTGTGGGGACAGATCTGCACGTTCCTCCCCCGCAGTAGCTAGCAATCCACAACAGTCCAGTGGAGCCTGAGTGGTGGGTGTTGGCTTCTGACACACTTCTGGTGATGTCAGGGGGTGTGGCATATGCAAATACGTTGTGCTAATAAGTTATGCTAATGAGCTCCTGCACCTCTTTTTCTACAAAATGACCCCTGAGATACGGTGTCCGGAACAGTAGACAGTATTCCAAATGAGGCCACGCCATAGATCTCTACAGGGGCATTACAATATCGGCTGTTCTATTCTCAATCCCTTTCCTACTAATCCCTACCGTAGAGTTTGCCTTGTTCTCCTCTGCAGCCCACTGGGTCGACACTTCCGTTGAGTTATCTACGATAACTCCGAGACCTTTTCTCCTTTCGGCCTCCGCAAGTTCAGACCCCATTAGCCTCTACTTCTGTCCCAATGTCGATCACTTTACACTAATCAACACTGAACTTCATTTGCCACGTTGCCGCCCACTCTCTGTCAGAATCGGAACCTTGCCTGGTCACTGGGTCCCTATACAAGCATGTCTGAGTCTCTGATGTACATAGCTTGACTCTGCTGAGTGTTATCACAGCCGCTTAGGCCTTCTGCCCCGCTTGTAGTTCCCAAGCCCCAAGTAGCACTTGCTAGCTGAGTCTCAATCTGTCAACAAGGATCCTCCTCTGACATTCCTGAGAAGGAGAGACTGAGGCAGGCCTGTGTGAATGTTGATAGCTGCGCTTTTGGAACACTGTGATGTGGTTAGAGATGTAAAACTTCCGGGAATTTTGAAGCTCGGAAAAACCCCCCAGGGTTTTTTGGGAAAAAACGGAAATTTTCGGAAAAATTGAAAAATATGCTACATTAGCATCTTTTTTTGTCTTTTCTAGATTGAAAGTCATTCTGTTACTTTAGGAACATAAAATATGACTATGGACATTTTTACTTGGCATGAAATTATCACAACTAGCATATTAAAAATATAGTGCATCCCAAGAATTATTACAAACAGAATACCCATCCACATGCAAAAACAAAACTGAAACCTTTTTATTTTCTTCTGACAATAGCACCTCCTAAAGGAAGAAATGCATCTTGTTCTTGCATTGGAGAGTTCAGTTTGTAACCTAGGAAATTAGATCAGTCTGATACCATATATATATATATTTTTAGAAATGATTTGGAAAATATTTGAACACCTTGTCTTAAAATATTTTATTCATCATATTAAAATAAAACGTTCCATAATCAATTTATTTTCTTTTTTAAATTTTTCCAATTTTTTAGAAAAAAAACAGAAAAGGCTTCCGGAAAAAAACCGTTTCCCCCCCGATTTTTTCCGTTTTTTTCCCGGGCCTTCACATCTCTAGATGTGGTACCTCCCCCGTGAAGGCTATGGGAGACTTTTGCTATTCTTGTTTCCCATGGCCTCAGTAGAGTAACAACTGATAAAACATTCTCACTGATCTAATTGAACTGTATTAACCTGCCTAGTTACTATCTAACGCTGACGTATGTATGAGGGCTGGACCAAAGGTCGTTTCCAACTTCGAACTATTTGCCAGTTCTGTCAAAGCGTTTGACTTGTTTGCAACTTTGCTGACTTTCTACAATAAAGCCAATTAAAGGACTTATTGCGTCCGAGAGTTACTACCCTGTCTGACACTCTCCCACTTTGTGGAGGTCCTCTTTGGAGCTCTTCACAGTCAGCCCTGGTTTTCACCACCCCGAATAATTTTGTGTCTTCTGCAGACTTGGCCACTACGCTGCTTACTCCTACTTCCAGCTCATTTATGAAGAAATTAAATAGTACCGCCCCCGATACCGATCCTTGTGGGACCCCACGGCTTACTTCCCTCCATTGTGAGAACTTCATTGATTCCTACTCTTTGCTTCCTGTCAATTAACCAGTTTTGAATCCGTAAGAGGATCTGTCCTCTTATCCCAGGACTGCTAAGCTTTCGCGGGAGAGTTGGGTGAGGTGGCTTGTCAAAAGCCTTTTGAAAGTCCAAGTACATAATGTCTGCCAGGACATTATAGTCCTTTGTCTACGTTTGAGATCACTTCCAATTAAAGGTCTCCACATAAGGTGCACTTCAGAACAATTCTATTACTGCCATTCAGCCCAATTGCTGCGCCTGGACTGTTTTCAAGAGTGTGGTTTAAAATGATACCTTTGCAATATACCTGTTTTAACACTCTTTTCAAATTTATTTGGAGAAGTCGGGGAGGGGGATGAATAAATCCTTTCTCTGAATCTTCTGTAAATCCACATAATTTAGTTGGCTCATCCTGAATAGGATCAATTGCCCTGAAATGTTTCTCATATCTTGTAATTTTTTATTTTTTTTGTAAACTGCAGTAAATACACCGCAATTGTAGGGGACTGGAAATTGAAAGGAATATTTTGTGAGAGATTGACAAAATGCTCTATTTCCTTAATTTTCGGTTATTTCATCCCTGGTGTCATCGCTGTTCTCTTCCTGTCTTGCTAAAAAGAAATTCTTAATATAGGCCAGATGTCTCTGTTGGACGGGGCAGGCAACTCCTTGGCCAGTTGCAATACAGGTGGTTACAGCAAGCTGGGTCAGGGTCCCACAGACTCATTTGCACCTGGGCTTGAACTTTACAGCAGGCCTTTATTTGTGGCCTATCCACAGGGTTACATTCATCCATGTCCTATTACAAGGTATCCAGGCTCTCCTTCATTGGCCACTTCTGAATGCCTAATCATGTCTTGTAAGTTCTGACCCCGGAGGTGTCTACCCAGCCCAAGGTTGGTGATTCAACCAAGGGAGGCACTCAAGTCATTAAGTCGCCCGACCCTCATGTTATGATTCACTTTGCCTCTCCTGGGTCTTTGTGCCCATGCAGATGGGGTCTCAATAAGAACATAAGAGAAGCCATCTTGGATCAGGTCAATGGCCCATCCAGTCCAACGCTCCTTGTCACACAGTGGCCAAAACCCAGGGGCCATCAGGAGGTCCACCAGTGGAGCCAGAACTCCAGAAAACCTCCCACTGTTGCCCCCCAAAGCACCAAGAACACAGAGCATCATTGCCCCAGACAAAAGAGAAGCCATGTTGGATCTGGCCAATGGCCCATCCAGTCCAACACTCTGTGTCACACAGTGGCCAAAATCCAGGTGCCATCCTGAGGTCCACCAGTGGGGCCAGAACTCCAGAAGCCCTCCAACTGTTGCCCCCCCAAGCACCAAGAACACAGAGCATCACTGCCCTAGTTATAAGAGAAGCCATGTTGGATCAGGCCAATGGCCCATCCGGTCCATTACTTTGTGTCACAGTGGCTGCAACCCAGATGCTATCAGGAGGTCCACCAGTGGGGCCAGAACTCCAGAAGCCTTCCCACTGTTGTCACACAAACACCAATAATACAGAGCATCTCTGCCCCAGATGTAGTGTTCCATCTACATGTTGTGGCTAATAGTCACTGATGGACCTTGGGTAATCAAGGTAATTTTACCAATTTTACCCAATGAAGTATGACAACAGTTAACTTTAAAGCAGCCAGTAAGATTCAAGCTTTTTATCTCAATCCAAGATACTCTGATCAACACCCCAGGCTTTTAGCAGCTGCAGTTATTCCTGCCCAGCTCTATAAACAATCCAAATCAGCCGACAGTCTGATATTCCTTGAAAACTTTATGGGATTGCCATAAATCAGCTGTGACTTGACGGCAATTTCCACTACCATCAGCAGACAAGACAAAAACTCATAAGAAGAGCCCTGCTGGATCAGGCCAGTGGTCCATCTAGTCCAGCATCCTGTCTCACACAGAGGCAAACCAGTTCCTCTGGAGGACCAACAACAGGGCATAGAGACAAAGGCCTTCATAAGAGCATAAGGAGAGCCCTGCTGGAACAGACCAGTGGTCCATCTAGTCCGGCATCCTGTCTCACACAGGGGCCAGCCAGTTCCTCTAGATGGGCAACAACAGGGCACAGAGGCTGAGGCCTTCCTAAGAACATCAGAAGAGCCCTGCTGACTCAGACCAGTGGTCCATCTAGTCCAGCATCCTGTCTCTCACACAATGGCCAGCCAGTTCCTCTGGAGGGCCAACAACAGGGCATAGAGGCCGAGGCCTTCATAAGAACACCAGAAGAGCCCTGCTGGAGGAGACCAGTGGTCCATCTAGTCCAGCATCCTGTCTCACACAGGGGCCAACTAGTTCCTCTGGAGGGCCAACAACAGGGCATAGAGGACCACTGGTTTGATCCATCAGGGCTCTTCTTATGTTCTTAGGAAAGCCTCAGCCTCTGCCCTGTTGTTGACCATCCAGAGGAACTGGTCAGCCACTGTGTGAGACAGGATGCTTGACTGGTCTGATCCAGGAGGGCTCTTCTCATGTTCCTAGGAAGGCCTAGGCCTCTCTGCCCTGTTGCTGGCCCTCCGGAGGAAATTGTTGGTGTCAAACTCTGTCTTTAGTTTGCCATGATGTCTGGGAGAGGGGAAATTCCGGGGGGGGGATTGTAGAAGCTGTAATTCTTTCTCCAAGATACCTCCTTGATTACCAGGGATGATCTTGAAGGCAAAGCTGTGCTCTTCTTGTTTCCATAGATAAGGGGGGCATGTATCTCCAGGGGTTAGAAGCACGAAATTTAGGTGGGAGTTTGGCAATGTGTGATTGGTGCATTTTGGTTTGAACGGTCTATAACTATGGAATTTCCCACATGAACCTGAGTTCTGACACAGTACTGTTCCACCTGGACCATGCAGATGTCTCAGTAAACCAACCACTGCCAAAGAGAATGTTGTTGGGAGTCTCCTGACCAGGGGACTGACAGTTGGCCACTATGTGAGACAGGATGCTCTACTAGATGGACCACTGGTCTGATCCAGCTGGGCTCTTCTGATGTTCTTAACTTCTGCTTGCTTCTCTGCAATCTTTAACGAAGGTTCATAACAGGTTTCAGCTCATCCTTGCCCCAACCACACTCCAGAAAACATGGCATACTTACACACTTTTCACTGTCAAAGACGTAGCACAAATGTTTGTTTGACTCAGAGTCTTTGCATATGAAAGTGAATATCCTTTTGTCGGTTTTATCATCAGCACAAAATGATATCCTATGGAGCTGGCAATTGTGTTGGACTTCCTGCAAACGACAATTGTGCAATTAGACCTCGCGTTGCATTTTGGGATCAGACTGCCACCTAACACAGCCAGACATGATGAAGCCAGATGTAATTATGCTCCACAAAACACCGATGAGAACCTATAATTTTGCTTTCATCTACTGTAAATGATCTTCTTTGTACATAAATTCTGACAAGGCTGCTTTGCTAGATGTGGTTGCCATTGCCACATGGATATGGGTCCAACTGTTAGCCACATCAGTCAAAGACACATGGAATGGCAGGATGTTCCAGTGCAAATCCTGAAAAACAAGACGTCCCAGTACAAATCCTGAAAGGCATCCCTCTCCATCCAGAGGATTCACTCTCTGGATCACAATTTCCACATTAAACACAATCACACTGTACACAACATTCTGTCGGCTGACCCGACTGCGTATATACTGAGAGAACTGGAGGACGTAATGTCAGTTTCTCAGATAAAAGGCACAGGATTTTTAAGGAAACTGTAAATAAGGATTACCGAGTCTCTTTTTCAAACCTCACTCAGAGGTATGCTAAATAATTCATGCACTCAAAAATCATTATTTGGCATATTCTGGAATTTGAAACTTTTCATTGGACTTGTGAGGATCCCCAAAATCACAGTGAAGATGGGGAAGACGGAGGAAAAAAACAGTGCTGTCTGTTCGGCCACATTCTGCCAGATTTGCAGCCGCCTCCGATACATCATTTGCTCAACCCATGTCAAGCTTGGCCTAACTTTCGATTCCTTTCAGTCCTGTTTCCTTCTAACTTGTTTGTCATGTTAAATTCCTGAGGGGTGGGTGAGTGTTATTGGAGTGTATGGGAGTAGAGACTGTAACTGTCTTGAAGTGCACCCCAAGTGTTGGTTCCCTTGGGATTGACCTTAGAGATCTTTCTGCCAGCCTAGGTTAGGATAGGGCACCATATATCTGTCCATGTTGCCATAGTAACACTGAGGGGTAGGTATGACGTGGGTATGAATGGAATTTTTCGTTTTTACCTATAACCTGTATGTTCCCGTGGTTTTCTTTAGTCCTAACAAAAGGTCTGGAACCCACAGCATCATATCTCTAATAAAGCACTACACTGCCAATAGTGTGTGTGGAGAGTGATTTAGCTGGGGACCTGACAACTCATTTGTTAGAACAGGGGTGTCTAACTCATTTGTTACGAGGGCCGGATCTGACATAAATGTCACTTTGTTGGCCCGGGCCAGGTGTGCCATAAAACGTAATGCCAGGTATTGGAGATTGTCACGACTCAGGTGGGGTGTCACCTGACGCTGCCACCACTCTGGACTTAGGTTCCCTTGAGAAGGCCCAGAGCACCCGCCCAAGACCTTCAGACCTCCCTTTTGGCCAAATAATAGGCGTAAGGACCAGGCAGAGTGAAACAAGAAAAAGGTTTATTTTATAGGAGGTCAAACAACAAGGTGCAGGATAGTAACAGTAAGTGGGTGAAAAGAAAAGAAAAGAAATGCCCTAACGCGTCTAAATTTACTTCCCCTAGCTCACTATCTCAAGTGGCACTAGACTACTCACCCTGTCCTCAGGATGACAGCAGCCTTCCTTCAGCCTCTGCCCTCTGGAAGAAAGAACAGCTGTTCCTGCTGTTCCAGAATTTTTATTCCCAGCCCTCCTCTTTTCCTATTGGTCCATTTTGGCTCCAAAACCTCCCAGGGGCTTCTGGGAATTGTAGCCCCAGCATCACCTACTGCTGGCCAGGCTCTCGGGCCTAGTAGGCCTCTGGTAGCACAGCCCAGATCATGACAGAGATATAAACTGTATAAAGGACAGGACCTGGTAAACTCTGAGTTATTGTGTCCTCACTGCAAGGCCCCATGGGCTGGGAGGGGGTGTAGCAGAAGAAGAGATTGGATTTATACTCCGCCCTTCACTCAGAGCGGCTTACAAACTCCTTTCCCTTCCCCTCCCCACAACAGACACCCTGTGAGGTAGGTGGGGCTGAGAGAACTCTGACAGAAACTGCTCTTTTTCAAGGACAGCTGTGCCATGTGCAAGTGGAGGAGTGGGGAATCAAACCCGGTTCTCCCAGATCAGAGTCCGCACACTTAACCACTACACCAAACCCACATGGGTGGACTGGAGAGCCAGCAGTGCAGCACTGGGCAGACACTCCCACGCTGCTTGACTGCTGCAGACAAGGTTGTTCCACCACGTTGAAACCACAATTGGAGTGGCTCCACCCACTCCCCTCCCCATCTTCTGTTCCCTCCCTTGAACCAGCTGCTCACGGGCCACATAAGAGTCATGGATGGGCCAGTTCTGGCCCCCGGGCCTTATGTTTGACACCCATGTGTTAGAAAGATTCCAATCTTCTCTCTAGGATTGGTGGTAAAAAACCCCAACAATCTTCCTGCTTCTTCCTTTTATGCATCAGTGCACGGGGCATGAATGCAAAGATGTTGCACCTGAAGTATAGGTAGTAGGTTTTGGGAGAGGGGATATTGTCGAGCAGAGTTGTAAAAGCAGAAAAATGCACTTCAGTGTAGGGAGTGAGTTCTACTTGCTTCTTGAAATACACATTTTTCACGCACAGGATCTTATCTCCTCCCATTTTGCCTCTTTGCCTATCATACGCTGAAAGCCTTTTTGGAGACGTCAATTAGTTTAGGCATATTTAATTTTATGTCGTACTGTGGGATATAAATAGGGTATTGGAACACGGCTGTAAAAGCATCAAATGAATAACATTTCATATGCATTTCAACCAAAGAGATGAACTAGTTTCTGCATTAATAGTTCATCTCCTGTGCAGAACTATGCATTCAATGAACTCTTGCCATTTGTGGTCTATACCTAGACATGTAAAATTTCTGAAAACGTTGAAGTCATGGGGAAAAACTGCACTTTTTCCGGTTTGCAGTAGAAAAGAGCAAGAGTCCAATAAGTCTTTTAAGGTGCTTCTGGACTCTTGCTCTTTTCCGCTGCTTTTTGTTGTTCAGTCGCACAGTCGAGTCCGACTAACACGGCTACTCATCTTGATCTTTTTTCCTGTCTGTTTTTGTTTTTTTGGACTTCGTTGCTTTCCTATCAAACCTAAAACTTCTTTTACTGATTGAACATAAGATGCATAGTTCATGACGGCATATACAATTGTACTATTCAGCGTTCAATTAAAAAGCATAGACGTCTTCCTTTTATGGTCCACTATGGTCGTTTTCTCAGATCAGGTGGGTGGCAACCCGGGAGAGGGGGGCCTTATCGGTCGTGGCACCAAAACTCTGGAACTCTCTCCCCAGAGAGATCCACCCTTCAGTTGCTGTCTTTTGCTGGAGGGTGAAGACTTCCCCCCCCTTTCAGTTGGCCCCTCCTTCCTTACCAATATTCTTCTCTTTTGTACTTTAACTTAAAATTGTTTTAATGATATATATATATATATATATATATATATATATATATATATATATATATATATATATATATATATATATATATATATATATATATATATATATATATTGGGGGGTGATTTTAATTAGGGTTGCTGGGTCTTACCTTCATCCTGGCGGGGGGCTCCAGGCCGGCTCTGGGAGTCTTTCTGGCGTGCGTGCTGAGCATGCGTGCCGCAATGAAGTCACCCAGAAGTGATGTCATTGCACTGGGCATGTTGTTCAGGGGGCACTCTAGTACTCAGGTAAAAACTCTATGGTCACCATAGAGTTTTTACCTGAATGCTAGAGTGTCCCCTGAACAATGAGCCTGGCGCGATGACGTTACCTCCAGGTGAAGTCGTGACACTGGGCATATCGGCGCACCGGGACTCTTTGGGGGCAGGGGTCCCCCCACAGGCCAGCTGGCTGGCGGTGGATTGGGCCCCCCCAAAACATGGAAATCCCGCCCACTTTGGGGGTTGGCAACCCTAATTTTAATGGTTTTATAATGCAATTTTATTGTATATATTAACTGCCTTGTCAGCCTTTGCAAGTGGATATACATTTTGTAAATACAGGAATACATCGATTTTCTAAAAGAAAAATTGCAAGTGTACCCCAATACTTGAGACAAAAGCTGCAAATGGCTGCAGGCAGAGCCAATACCAATGTAGGACATTTATCTTTAATTCTTTGCCATCTGAGAGGTAGGGAAGAAAAGAAAGGTTGAAAGACACTACCTATTGTTTGGATATTAAGCCAAACTTTAAAATATGGAGCTCTTTAATAATGCATTATTGTTAAGCCCAGGCCCCGTTCACACGAGGCGATTTGGCCCGGGAAAGGGACAGTTTGGTGCCGGATCAAACCGGCGCGATCACACCACAACATCTGGGAAGCGTCTTGCTTCCGTGGCCGAACTGTCCCTTTCCCGGGAAAATGCGCCTCAAACTGAACCACCTACCTCGGTGGTTCAAATGGATGAGGCGCCTCTTCCCGGGCGTCTGATCGCCGGCGCGTCTTTGCGCTGGCACAACCCCGGCCCGGATCCGAACTGCGCATGCTCCGACATGCGCAGTTCGGCCGGCCCCCGGTTAGGGCCGTCTTTTCTCCCCGGCGTTTGATCGCGCCGGGGAGAAAAGGCGGCTCGGCCGGGGGATCCGTGGGATCCCGCCGAGCCGTATCAACGTTGGCGCGGCTTTTAAAAGCCGCGCTTTAAAGGGCTTTTCCCCTGCCGTGTGGCAGGGGCCCCATTAGAGCATATTAACTGTTACCAAAATTGTCTACCAAGAATTTGACTCATCCCCTTTTAAAGCCACCCCAGCTAAGCCAGCCCTGACATGAATGGCCCAGGCTGGCCTGACCTTGTTAGATCTGAGAAGCTAAGCAGGGTCGGCCCTGGTTAGTACTTGGATGGGAGACCACCAAGGAAGTCCAGGGTTGCTACGCAGAGGCAGGCAATGGCAAACCACCTCTGAACGTCTCTTGCCTTGAAGACTATATGGGGCCGCCGTATGTCCACGGCAACTTGATGGCCCTTTCTACCACCGCTGAACCAAGCCATCTAACCGACGTCTGTAGCAGCAAATTCCCTAAGTCATTTTTGCAATATGTGAGGGAATCTTGTTTTGTTTCTCTGGGTGAGGATGTTAGAGGGAGGGGGGAAAGAGATTTTTTTTTAAAAAAAGAGATTCTTACCTTTGTTTTTGGATCTAGGATTTTCACTCCGTATATTGAGATTTGTAATTCAACCTTTGGTGTTTTTTGTCCTTCAGATTTTTTGATATGCCTTGCGAACTGGGAATTAAAACAAAAATAATAATACTTTTATAACATACCTGGGCACTGTTTTGTGGCTGTCTGCAAAACTTCTTCATTTAGTTGCCAAGACGAAGTCATCCTGCCCACATCACATCCCCCAGATATAGCTGTGCTATAGCCCTCAGATATATCCCTCAAAATTCTGTAACCCTAGAACTACCAACGAAAAAGCCTGAAGGACTTTTGACTTGAAGGATGGCCGAATATATATAATATCTATAATATATATATAAGAGCCAGTTTGGTGTAGTGGCTAGGAGCATGGATTCTAATCCGGTAGAACCAGGTTTGATTCCCTACTGCTCCACATGCTGGTGGTGGTGTGACCTTGGGTCAGTGACAAGTTCCCTCAGAGCTGTTCTCTCAGGAGCAGTTCTTGAAAGAGCTCTCTCAGCCCCGCCTCCCTCACAGGGTGTCCGTTGTGAGGAGGGTAAGGGAAGGGGATTGTAAACCGCTCTGGGAGGCACTTCTTCGGGTATAAATCCAATCTCTCTCTCTCATATAGGCAGGGGTCATTTCGTAGAAAAAGAGGTGCAGGAGCTCATTAGCATAACTTATTTGCATATGCCACGCCTCCTGACATCACCAGAAGTGTGTCAGAAGGCAACACCCACTGCAACTTACCTGGCTGCTTCTTGCTCCTCATGGCCCAGGGCTGCTGGGAGCAGGGGGGTGGGGCTTGTCGCATGTGCTCGCCCCCTGGGCTCTTTACTACCGGAGTGCCGCTCCTGTGCGCTCCTGCAGGAAATGACCCCTGCATGTAGGGCTATCCATTAAAAAGTCCTTCAAGCTTTTTGGTTGGTAGTTCTAGGGTTACAGGATTTTGTTTCGCCTCATGATTTCCAGGTTGGGGAGCTATTTTCTCTACATGGCCAGTGAAGACCATCATTCTGTTCAGGTGAAGAGTGATGATCATCATTTCACACTGAAGCCAGCCAGGGATTAAATGACTGATCTTTCTGTAACAGCTTAGATTCTATATAATTTTTTGTTCTCCACCTTGAGAATTAACACAAATTGAAAAAAAGTTGGAGTCCAGTGGGACCTTTGAGACCAACAAAGTTTAATTCAGGGTATAAGCTTTCGTGTGCCGGCACATGAAAGTTCATACCCAGAAATAAACCTTTGTTGGTCTTAAAGGTCCCACTGGACTCAAACTTTGTTCTATTGCTCTAGACCTACACAGCTACCCACACAAACTGAAAAGCAAGCTATGCATTCTTAGATAAATGGAATGAATAAACTGATGGATAATTTGAACATAAAAAAGGACTTCCGGGCCCCCAAGACATCCATTGCATCCAAATGGAAAGCTGATAAGGCGCCGTTTCGCTCATGCTGGTTGAATAAAGTCTGGGATCACCTAATCTTAGAGAAAACCAGGGCTATTTTGTGGCAGGAACGCACAGGAACGGAGTTCCAGCTGGCTCCCGAGTTGGCCACACCCAGCAGGAACTCATTAGCATAATAGGCCACACCCAACAGCAGGAACGCATTAGGATTGGCTACATTAGGGGGTGTGTGGCCTAACATGCAAAGGAGTCCCTGCTACAAAAAAAGGCCCTGGGTTTTGACAACAAACAAGGTAAACAGAATAAGAAACAAAAGGTGGGTGTGGCTGGATGAGCACGCTTCTGGTAACACAGGGGTGTGGCCTCATATGCTAATGAGCTGTGCGGTCAGGGGTGTGGCCTAATATGCGAATACGTTCCTCATGTTGGGTGTGGCCAATTATGCTAATGAGTTCCTGCTGGGCTTTTTCTACCAAAAAAGCCCTGGAGAAGATAACAGATCATTTACGCCACTCTGAACTATACCCCAAACCCTCTAATTTCACAGAGAAATGGCTTCCCTGTATGGAATTCCTCTTTGCTTCTGATCTGCAACCTCGCAACCACGCGTATCTCAAAATACTATACCAATAGCTGTCACCACAATAAGAAATCGCAATGCTTATTAGTATTAAAGTGAAAACTGGTCCTGAATGACTAAGAGGAAGGCTTATGTATGTTAGTCTCGATACTAACAACAGAGTCGAAATCGAAACACTTGTTTAACTGTCAACAGTAGCTGTTAAAACTGTTTATCTGTAACGTTATTGTTCTTATACGACCGTTATATCCGCAACTCCACAAGACAATTGTAAGTGCAATGTTTTTGAAATCTGTTTCTTGTAGAAAATTAATAAAAAGAATTTGAAGAAGAAGAAGAAGAAGAAGGAGAAGAAGAAGAAGAAGAAGAAGAAGAAGAAGAAGAAGAAGAAGAAGAAGAAAAGAACTTCCTTTCCCTCCCACCCAAAATTCCCATTAGCAGTACAAGTGAATGGTAAGCCCCAGTTGCAGTCCATTTTTGTTTACCAGGTCTGCATACGTCCTCAGGCCAAACTATGTGACAATCTCCAGAGATGCATGAACTGGATTTGTATTAGCAAACTGCAGCTGCAGAGGCCTGATTAGGACTGTAGTCATGCAGCAAGGCAAGGAGGGAGGTTTAACACTTTCCACCCTCTGGCTTCCCCACCTCAAATGACCCTCCTGGAATTTCTTGCTTGCACGAATCCCCCAGTGGAGCAAATTGCCGCTCCCAGGAAAGGGTCACCCGAGGTCAGGAGGACTTCATGGAAGGGAAAAGGTTCCCTCGAGTCCAAAGCAGGTGCTCCTGAAGGGGCTCTTTACGAATCGAAGCTGCACAAGGGTTCCATTCACAGGTCTCTCTGTATCCGGTCTGGGTTGGCTCTGCATTACCAGACAGAATGGGCTCCCACCAAAGTTACGGTGGTGGAAATGCCACCAAGTCACAGCCAACTTAGGGTGTCCCCATAAGTTTTTCAAGGGAACAGACCAAACAGAGGTGGTTTTGCCCTTGCCTGCCTCTGCGTAGCAACCCTGGACTCCTTGGTGGTCTCCCATCCAAGTACTAACCAAGGCTAACTCTTTTTACTTTCTGAGATCTAAGGAGATCAGGGTAGCCTGGGCTATCCAGGCCAGGGCCCAAAGTCACTAGCAATGGTCAAACCATCTCTTATCCAGCCTACCTCACTGGGTGTCTGTTGTGGGGCGGGGAAGGGAAAGGGATTGTAAACAGCTCTGAGACTCCTTCGGGGAGTGAAGGGTAGGGTGTAAACCCAATCTCCTCCTCCTCCTCTTCTTTTTAACTTGAAGCATATGAAACACGGCCACCGATGCTCCCTCTAAGCTGTGGAGTCTTGTGAGCAACAATTCTACTTTGTGAGCCACTGGCGTTAAAGTTGTGAGCGAGCGATTTGGCTGCTGCATAAATTAGTTTGCTCTGGAGCCATCCTTCCCGAGCAAAGACAAAAAAAATGTGTGAGCCGGAGGCTAAAAAACCGTGATCTGGCTCACACGAACTCAGCTTAGAGAGAACACTGTCCACATGTATTTTGTATATTCCAATAAACAATACAAATGGCACTGAGGACAACTGGAAGTCTTCGATACTCACAACTCATGCGTACTCAAGTTTCAGAGATAGCTTAGTGGGGTAGTGACTATACAGTTTAAGTCAGCAAACAGGAGGACAGCAGGTTCTAGTAATATTAGCCTTCAGTGGAGCTGTGGCTCAGTGGCAGAGCATCTGCATGATATGCAGAAGGTCTCAGGCTCAATCCCTGGCATCCCTGGTTAAAAAGGATCAGATGGTAGGTGATGGGAAAGATCTCTGCCTTAAAACACTGGAGAGCAGCTGTCAATATGAGTAGACAGTACTGACCTTGAAGGACCAATGATGATGATAGTAGAAGAAGAAGAAGAAGAAGAAGAAGAAGAAGAAGAAGAAGAAGAAGAAGAAGAAGAAGAAGAAGAAGAAGAATTGGATTTATACCCCGCCCTTCACTCGGTGTCTCAGAGCGGCTTACAATCTCCTTCCCTTCCTCTCCCTACCCTGTGAGGTAGGTGGGGCTGAGAGAGCTCTGAGAGAACCGTTTCTCTTGAGAGAACTGCGACTGACCCAAGGTCACCCAGCTGGCTGCATGTGGAGGAGTGGGGAATCAAACCCGGTTCTCCACCGCTCTTAGTAATTATTTTCCCCTACTTTCAGCACTATTCTCAGCTTTTTCCAGTGAATTCGTATAGAACAGCTATAGTAAAGGTAAAGGTTCCCTTGCTCGAAAGCCAGTCGAGTCCGACTCTAGGGTTGCGGTGCTCATCTCCGTTTCAAAGCCGAAGAGCCAGCGCTGTCCGAAGACGTTTCCATGGTCACGTGGCCGGTATGACTAAACACCAAGGCACACGGAACGCTGTTCCCTTCCCACTGAAGTGGTACCTATTTATCTACTTGCAATTTCTTGCTTTCGAACTGCTAGGTTGGCAGGAGCTGGAACTAGAGACGGGAGCTCACTCCGTCATGCGGCACACTCGGGTCTCAAACTGCTGAACTACAGACCTTCCACAGCCTGCAGTTCAGCGTCTTAACCACTTGAGCCACCGCAGCTCCTAGAACAGCTATACACAAAGATTTAAGGTTTGACTGTATTATGAAGCCGCTATGAATTGGGGAGGAGCTGAATTTAATTGAGACGGCTTCTGGCCAGTGGGGACCACAAGCCATGGCTCAGTGTAGAGACAATGCTGCAAAGCATCTCAGGTAGCTTGGTGGGCTTGTGACCTTGGAGGGCTGCGACCAGTCAGAGAAGACGATACTAAACTAGATGGACCGTTGGTCTCACACAGCATTAAGGCAACTCCAGAGCCTGTATCCTCTAACTGAACTCAGCAAGGTCTGAAGCCTTCCTTCAGGCTAAAGAACCCTCATTCAACTGAAGCAGTGTTTCTGCGGGAGAAAGCCTCCTGCAGAGCCAGTTTGGTGTAGTGGTTAAGTGCGCGGACTCTAATCTGGGAGAACCGGGTTTGATTCCCCACACCTTCACTTGCAGCTGCTGGATGACCTTGGGCAAGCCGTAGTTCTGATAAGAGCTGCTCTTGAAAAAGGCCAGTTTCTGTCAGAGCTCTCTCGGCCCC